CTAAAGAAATTGGCGATCTTTGACAAGTTGGGCCAATGGGAAATGGGAAGAAACATAATTATAAAGATCTGCCAAAGAGAAAAGATGGATCAGGGATTTTGTTGGTAGGCTGGAGAATAGGTTACACCACTCCACGTAGGCTTTCCATGGGAGATGTTTTCAACTGTGATTGAAAGGACGTTAGATACATAAGTATCATTTGTCTTTAGGATCACAGAATCATTGATTTTTAGAGTTCAAAAAGATCTCAGGGGGTCATCTAGGCCAACCTGAATCTGAATAGGGATTCTCTCTAATATACCCCCTACAACAGGTCATCCAGTCTTCATTTGTGGACCTCCGTTAATAAAGGATTCTCTACCTCCCGGGATAGCCCATTGCTCTTTGGGGCAGCTCTAAGTGTTAGGAAGTTTTTCCTCTGGTTAGTGGCATTCCAAATTTCATAAGGGGAAGGAGGGAAGGCCTGATTGAATTCCCAGCACTATGCTTTCTTTTGACCATAACCAGAAAAGTGTGTTTAAATGAACATGAAATTCCATCACTAAAGCACTGTGCAGGCCAAGCTATCAGTCTAGTCTTCGGAGCTACTAATAATGCCCTATTGTGTTACTGTGGTCTTCTAGGTTATCATTAAGGAATATTTGCTCCCAGTTGAACAAACATGATGTTCCACTAAATACATATATACAGGGTTCCCACCAAGACAGAGTGGCATCTTTCTTGAGAATAAAAATGAACTGAAGCTTTCATCTTGTCAAAATGATGAGAAAATCAGTTCCAGGAAGGAAGGTAGTAGAAGCGGTGGGTCAAAGGATATTTAATTGCAATCAATTGGTCTCAATTTGGGGATATTGTTCTTGCAAGCTAGAAGAAGCAATGGGTGGCTTTGGGGAGCCCCAAAGCAATGAATCATAGGGATTCCTATAGCCATCTTGTTGGGCACAGAACAGCAGCAACTCCCCACCAATAAATCATTTCTTAAGAATCATTCCAGGAAAGAAGAGATAGGCCATTGAACCCATTTCTAGACTTTTTACAGCCACTTAATAAGAAGTCATATTTAAAGAAATATGAGACATAAAGTTAACCTTGAAAGACCTGGGCTCCAGTAGTCACTGATACTACCTGTGTGACTGTGGGTAAGTCACTTAACTCTTCATTGCCCATGCAGCTCTCTGAGATTTGCTTATCTATCTATACTAATGGAGAGATTTTCCTAACTGGAAATTTCCCATAACAATGAAATCATAGGTCTGGAATTTTTTTTAAAAAGTGCTTTAAGGTCTATGGAGCACTTCCCTAACAAAAACTCACATTATACAAATGGTGAAAGTATTCTTCTTTTCATTTTATGGATAAGGAAATTGAGGCTGAGAGAGATTTGCCATGACTTGCCCAAGGTCTCCTGGATAGTAAGCATCACAATTGGGATCTGAACCCATGTCTCTGATTCCAAGTTCAGCAAACTTTCCACTGCACCATTCTGTATCTCTTGGCTCTTTGACCCAACTCACCCTCTGGCCAAAGCACATAAAATTTGTAAACAGAGTTACAATCCAGACGGGCAAGAAGGAGCCACACGCAAAGGATGAGCTAAGCCAAGTTGAGTTGAAACAATGTGCATAGTCAGAAGAGAGATTCATTTGGAGCCAGAAGGACAAATTCAAGGCCTGGTTCTCCTCCTTACTACTCAAGTCACTTTGAGTAAGCAATTTAATCTTTTTCAGCCTCAGCTATGTCATCTGTAAAATGGGGAGAAGGTGTTCGACTAGATAGTGGTGTCGAACTCAAATAGAAGCAGATCTCTACAGGCTTCATACTGACTTAGGAAACCATAAATTAATGTTGTCATTGTATTTGCTTTGTTAAATATTCCTCAATTCCATTGCAATCTGCATTAGGCCACCCTCAGGAGTTCTGGGTGTACAAGTTTGTCACCTCTTGACTAGATATTCTTTCAGGAGCCTTTCCAGACCTAGATCTTAAAATCCTAAGTTTCAGTTCTGGGCATGTTGTATATACCATCAAAATCGCCCTCTCTTTGTTTGATGTATTATCCAGGAGGAAAAAAATCAAGTTCTGCTGACTTTAAGGGCACATATTTGTGCAGAATCTAATTTCCTACCTCCTCTAGTCTTAGAACTAGAGAAATAACATACTTTGGGGGTTCTTTCTTGAGGTACCATCTTTAAGAAGGTTGTTTGCTGGATAGAGCACTAGATTTGGAGACAGGAAGACCTGAGTTCAAATCCTGCCCCAGATTGTGTGATCCTGGGCAAGTCATTTCCAATTCTTTGAACCTCAGTTTCTTCAACTATAAAATATTAGTAAAATAATAGCACCTATCTTATGGGGTTATTGCGAGGATCAAATAAGATAATATAGGAAGTGCTTGGCAAACTTTAAAGTATTATAGAAATGCTAGCTATCATTAATATTTAATAATATTAATATTATTTGTATATATTGGAATATATTTTATAGTGGTAGAAACTGAGACAAACAGGGGAGAGATAACTCATACGGGTCATGAGAAGCAAAGCTGAGGTTTGAACTTGGGTCTTTCTGATTCCAAATCCAGCATTCTTTTTTTCCGTACCATGTCTCTGTTACTCTTGCTTGCTGAGTTTAGGACCTAATGCATCTCCCAGGATCACTTATCCTGTTCAAATGTCAATGTGAGTCAAATGTGAATGGGACATCTCCCTCTGGAATGGAAATTTCAGAATTTAGGACACAAAGAAAGAAGCAGCCCTGAGCTCCAGCTAGTTTTTGTGAAGGACAAGAACCCAGGGAAGGGCTTTGAGGTATAGCCAATGGAATTTGCAAGCTGGTGCTCTCTGTGGCTGGAAGGAACAAAAGAAATTCCATTTCTCAGTAGAAGAGCATGTTTTCAGGATTTAGCCTCTCATAAATCTTCCAGAGAGAGCTCTCACTTTTCAGTCGGACTATCCAAAGTTCAAAACAGTTTTTATGGAAGAAGGAAAAAACCACACACCCTAACCTCAAACACACATGTATGTATGGATACAAGGATGTATACACACATACATATATATATTAGTATATCTATATATATCCAGGGCTGTTGAAAAGCCCATTTGGGGTATAGTTGGCCAGCTTATATTTTCAGGGCTCTTTAAAAAATATTTCCAAGCTTCCAAATACTTTCCAGCCTGTAAAATTCATTTCATTGCCATAGCAACGGTAAGTGGCTTGCCTGATATTAGCAAATGGACAGATCTTCCAATGAGTTTAGGCTTCCTTATGAGGGCTCCTTTTTTCTTCACTGTTGTTAGTAGATGTTCCAACACTTTCTTGGAATGACTGAGGCTTTGCCATGGGTTAAAGTTAGGGAAATGTTTAATTGTTTGGACTTTCTACTTTGTTGGCGTTAAATCCCACGATGTTCATATTAGCCATGAAATCAAGACTTCCTCGTGGGACCCTCTGCCCCAACTATGGCTTCATGTTAGTTAAAAAGCAAACATATGCACAGCTCCTTTATCTTCACTACCTTCTCTCTATTAAATGTGCATTATATTACCGGAGACGAAGGTAGCATATTATGGGAGGAGCTCTGGATGGGAAGCCAGAGGCTAGATTTGAAGCTTAGCTCTGTTACTGACTAGCAGTAGAGTGCCAGTTTGAGCAAGTAACTTTCCCTCACTCTATTTCAGTTTCCTCATTTTTAAGATGAGGAGGTTGAGTTAGATAGTCTCTGAGGTATAGTCTCTCCTCTAAATCTTTTATCTGATGATTCTCCTTCTGCTTCTAACCACCTCAGATCCTAGAGCATCTGACTTAGGTAGCAGCTAGGTGTTGTAGTGAATAAAGCACTCGGCCTGGAATCAAGAAGACCTGAGTTCAAATAGAACCTCCAGTACTCATTAACTGTCATTTAAATATCTGCCTCAGTTTTCTCAACTGTAAAATGGGGATGATAATTATAGCACCTATCTCCCAGGACTTGTTGTGAAGATCAAATAAGATAATATTTGTAAAGCATTTAGTACAGTGCTTGGCATATAGTAGGCACTTAATGAATGCTTATTCCCTCCCCCATTTTCAATAAATGACATATTTATAAAGTACATGGCACATAGTAGGATCTTAATAAATGCTTGTTTCCATAATTCCTTCTTGCCTCTTCCCTTTCAAAATTCTCTATGTTTCACTATCTCCTAGGAGAATAAGGTGGGTTGGATTAAAAGATTTCTAAAATTCTTTTTCATCTCTAAAAGAAATAAATCATAACTGATAGGAAAAATCAATTCAGCCCTTTAGGATATCTTTATTTTACAAAATGTAGACCTGAAGGGGAATTTAAAGCTCATCTAGTACAATTTGTTCATTTTATAGCCGAGGAAACTGAGGCGGAAGGAGAGGAAGTGATTTTTCCAAGATTGCCCAGGTAGTGAACAGTAGAGTGGAGATATTTATTAACAATATCTACACTTCTTGAAATAGCAGAGCTGTCATTATCAACAAGCGTCTCACCCTGAGCATGTGAATGGAACAGGGACAGAGTACAACAAATCCTTCTGGCGGAGCAGTGTTTAAAGGTGGCCCTTGAAAACCCCTCAGTTACTGGAGAGAGTCATCCTTTCTGAGGGAATGAGGATTAGCAATTGGGAGAGAAGGATGCTTAGAAATCAGAGAGTTTTCCCCTTTGCAGACTTTAATGCAAGGTTGGAAGCTGAACAGCAGACCCAGAACTGGACAAGTCCTAACAAAGGCTTACAACAGAAGGTCCAGGCAATTCCCCCGGAGCCAGCAGCAGCCTCTTTAGCCTGCCTTTGCAAAGGATGCTAAGGTACCCATCAGGATTCAGCCCATGTTTGAGACTCAGGTCCCAAACTTTTGGACTCGTTACCAACTGTCCGAAAAATAAACCAAAAGTAGGAGTGTTTTCCAGAGTGCAGGGTGCTCTTAGCCTGTACCCTGAAAATGGGTCACATAACAAGTCTTCTGCAAGCAAAACAACCAAAGCCACTTACTTGTCTAAAATGAAGTATAGGTCAAATCCTCCATAGCAGGCAGGACCCCCATTCTCCCTATTTCCACCTTGTCCAGCACAGGCAAGCACAAAAGTAGCTAAAGAGAGACACTTGAAGCCAATCCTAAGGGCTCTTTGCTCCACAATAGCCATTATATCCAGAAAAGGGGAAAGAATTGTCTTCAGAAAGTTCCTGGAATCTCCTCACAAATAAGCCATTCAAAGTTCCCCTCTGCTTTTTGCTTCTTCTTTTTTCTTTCTGAAACTCCCCTGGAAGCAATTGTCTGGAAGAGTTCAAGGTTTTCCTCCTTCTTTCCCCTGCAATTCTGTTTCTCGGTTTCAGATTTCAAGATTCACAATACTGTATTTCACTTTTTTTTTTTAAAGGGACTTCTCATGACTTTGGATGGTTAAGAGTTCAGAAAGCAAAAAGGTCTCTGAGTTTTGTTATTGGAGACTCTAACTCCTGACAATTCTTTGTCTCAGATTGAAAATAAATGGGGTGGGTTTTTAAAATTTTTTCTTGGAAAGGAGAATTCTTTCTTTATTTCCCCTTCTTTCTCCCTCCACCCTTTTAATTTAACTTTATTTTGCCAGTTAAAAAAGATAGCGCCTGCCATCTAGTGGTAAAGAAAGATAAAACAAGCTTTGGCTTCCACCAGAATTGGGTCTGTTACCATCATGTTTTCTGAAAAGAAAGTTCTTGCTGAATCCTGGTCAGTTACCTGGGAGTTGTGGGAGGTGGAATACACAATTCTAGGATCACAAAGGTGCTCCTATGATTCTTGGTCAGTAGCTACTCACAGGGAGAGTTTGGAGTTGGAGAACTAAACTTCAACCCTACTCAAATACAAAAGGAATAAAAAATATTAAGGGCCTGAGTGCAAAGTACCGTTCTAGGTCCTAAGGTTCCAGTGATAATCCTGGCTCTGCTATTTACTACTTCCTTAACTTTGGGCAAGACACATCCTTTCTTTATAAGAAGAACCCTTTTAATTACCCGATTTGGGGTTTTGGTCTTTTTTTTTTTTTTTGGCAAAGATACTAGAACGGTTTATGATTTCCTTCCCTAGCTCATTTGACAGATGAGGAAACTAAGGCAAACTGAGTTAAGTGACTTGCCCAGTGTCATACAGCTAGTGAGTGTCTGAGGCCAGATTTGAACTCAAGAGGAGTCATTGGCCCTGCATCACCTATCTGCCCCTTAGTTTCCTCATTATAAAAGAAGAGGTCAGACTAAATGATTTTTAATGTCCCTTTTGGTTCCAGATCTTCTGACCATTTGAACTCCTTATGTCCATTAAAGAACTCAACACTTCATTAGTCCAAATTATCACTGAGCTTTCTACGCTGTGTATAGAAATTTTCAAAAATCATCAGGAAAAGGGCAGATCAGCTTCTGACTCCCACTGAAAGTAATACAGTTTCAGAGAGGAGGTGACAAATGAAGGAAAGAGACCGGAAGCAGGACTGAGGAAAGGAAGTCCCAGGGTGTGGAAATCTGCAGTAGGCTAGTGTAGACTATATTTCAGGTTTAGTGGAGGACCATTCTAGCAAGCTTGCTCAGTCACTATTCGTAGTTTGGGGTTACTATGTGAAAACTTTTAGGGGAGTTTTCTTCTAGCCATGTCCTACTCATTGCTGATAAGACTCTAATTCTAGATAAAAAGTGTTTCCCTTCTTGGTGGTGAGACTAGTAACTCAGTTAATGTACAAAAGGGGGGCACCTGCTCCTTACCCTCTTTCTTCCTTTCTGGTTTCCAATTGTGCAAGTTTGCTTTGAGCAGCTTCCCAAGAGTTGAGTGGAGGAGGGGCATCCGCCCCATGCACACATGGCATGTAAATGAATGACAGGTCTGGCCCAAGCAAACCTGAGCCTCAGTTTATCATGTCTATTTTTTCCTGCTCTTAGGCAACTGTGTACCCATCTGAACATGTACGTACATGTCTAGGATTAGAGGTAACCTTATGAAGTGGAGAGGTCCAGAGGTCCTAAATCTCACAGGTTAGAACCAAATGACGGCATAGGAGGAATCCTCAGCAATCAGTATAGAACTCCTGAGCACTAGCCCAAGTCTAACAGTTTTGTCCGCAGATAGGCGCTAAGAGTTATTTGGACAGTGCAGAGCTAAGGTGAAATATAAAACACCTAATCAGCAATCCTGCAAACTGATTTATGTTCTGATAAGGTTTAAGTATCAGACTACCCTCCCCTACCCTCAAAGATTGTAACAGTAGTTAAAATGTGTTACTGAATCCTCTTCTGTGAATGGACACTTGTGAATCTTTAGCATCTCTTGCCTACGTAGGAACAAATTATCAGTCCCACATCTGATTCACATTGTACAGTGAGCACCTTTTCCTTCTCCTCATTTTTTGGAAAGGTCTTGGACATGAGCCAGTAAAATTCTTCCTGAAGGGCTCAGGTAGGAGGAGTTTAAGAAACTGAAGAGTGTGAGAACAGGAATAGGGAATCTAAGCCCTGACCTTGGAGGTAGGCTCCACCGGCGCTGAACAGATCAAAGAAGATGCCTGGAAAAAGAGCAGAGAGTAGTCACAGTAACTCTGGAGTGATCCCTCAAGCTTAAACAAAGTGTACATTCAAGTGAATTTTTGAATGGAAAAAAAAGTCTTCTTCCCAAATTGGAGTAGCATTATTGCCAGTGGTGTAGAGCATTAGAGTAGAGAGAGCCCTATACTTAGACTCAAATGACTTGGGTGCAAGCCTGTTGTCCAGTGAAGGTACTGGTCTCCTTGACCTCTAAGGTCTGTCTCTAAAAAAATTTAGAGCCAGAAGGAACGTTGGAAGTCATTGAGTCCACCCCTCCATTTTATTGAGAAAGGAACCAGATAAAGGCCCAGAGGGGATTAATTACTTGCTCAGTGCCATATACCTAATAACTATGTGAGATGGGATTTGAACCCAGGAGTGCTGGGCTTGGAGTCAGGAAGATCTTAGTTCAAATCTGGCCTCAGACACTTACTAGCTATGTGACCCTGGGCAAGTCACTTAACCTTTGTTTGCCTTAAACCACTGGAGAAGTAAATGGCAAGCTACTGCAGTATCCTTGCCAAGAAAACCCCATGAACAATATGGTGGACAGGGTCATAAAGAGTCAGAAATAACTGAATGCCTGAACAACAGCCACATCCTGACTCCAAACCCAGTGCCATAACCACTACAGTATACTGCCTTCAAGCTCTAAGATTTTGTTTTACTCTCTGTTCTTCTTAGCTGAGATAACCCCAAAGGGGAGGGGGATTTCATGTAGAAGGTGGTACTTGAGCTGTATCTTGAAGGAAGTTAGGGATTCTGTGAGACAGAAGTAAAGGAGTACATTCTGAGCATGGGGAATGGACAGAGAGAAGGAAGGCTATGTTTGAGGAATAGAGAGAAGTCTAGTTTGGATGGAATATGTGTGTACGTATATATAAATATATACATATGTATGTATACATATAAATATATGCATATTTATTTTGTATATATACAGAAAGAGAGAGAGCGGGAACAAGAGAGTGAAATGGAGATAGGGAGAGACAGAGAAGGAAAAGGCTGTGCAGGTAGTGCAGGATTTTAAAAACCTATATGTGAAGTCCATATTTTGTCTAGAGGTAATAGGGAGACATATATATTGAGTAGGAGAGTGGCATGATCATATTTTTGCTTTAGGAAAAATCAATTTGGAAAGGAGAGAAACTTGAAGCAGGGAGACCATTGAGAAGACTGTTACAAGAGTACAAGTGAAAAATAATCAGGTCTAAACTAAGGTTAAAGATGACAATAAGGGCAGGGGTTTGGACTGTCAGCTCCCACCATATATTACTATTTCTGTTTAACATTGTTCCTTTTGTGAATTAATATTTCTCTAAGCTGGGCTCAGAAGAAAAAAAAAACAGTGCAATAAGGGTAAAATGGAGTAAGATTTACAAACTCAATAATTTAGAAATGGGCTAGAGGAGGTTAAATTTGGTAGTCTAAAAACTTTTAATTTATGAGAGACACCAAGAGATTGAAAAAGTAATAAGTAAGGGCATAGGCCCTCAAATAGAATAGAATTCAGAATAGACTAGAAGGAAATAGAAATAAAGAAAATGACAGAGTAAAAGAAAACCTCTTACAAAAGAGGACAGCAAAAACAATTGTTACTTAAACTAAAAGGTTGTAACAATGCCAAGATGTCAGTGTGGCAAGAAGCAGCATAAGCTTCCCCTCTCTCCTGGCCAGACTACTTCAGATAGATATAGAAAACACACCAGACCAAATTGTGATTGGGAAATTCAAGAAAAAAAATCATAGTGAATCATTTGTCCAACCCAGTCTACACAGAAAGAGAGAGACAGAGAGGTATGTGAATATTGGGGAACAGGGTCTGGCCAGGACCATGCATTCCAATCATTCCAATGCCCAGGAACAGGGCAAGACAATGTTCCAGACTCATACTGGGCCACAACCTCAGAGAGGCAGAGTATAAGAACAGGTGCCAACTGGCAACTTTTTTGCTTACTACCTTTTTCTGGGTTACAGATCCCGGTTGGACTGAGGAAGACACCAACACAAGGGGTAAGGAGTGGTAGCAGGCCCTCCCTAACCTGTACACCAAGCAAAGACCAATTGTAGAGGAGAGCAGAAAATGTGTGGATCTGACCTCAGGAGCAGAGCAAGATCTCAGTTTCAGCTTCTAACCCAATCTGAAGCCTGCAAAGGAATGATGGGGGCAAGAATCACAAATCAAAGGGAAGTTCATAGTTCTATCTTTTGGAACCAACAGGGTTTTCTAGCCGAGTCCAGAAGCAGTCTACTGTTGCTTAGCTCTAAACCTAGGTCAGAAATTTGCAGATTTCTGACCCAGGGGACAGCTATCAGATTTTGACCAGACCAGACCATGTTTGGAGCATTGAAGTCTTGCATATCCACACCCTGAACAGCCCCTGAATAACAAAACATTCAATACCCCCAAGAAAAAAGCAACAGCATCAACCCAGATCTTCCTGTCAGAAGTACAGAGTCTGGCTCTAACATAAAGTAAAAAAGTAGGCTGGAAGAATTAGCAAACAAAAATAAAAAATAATCTCACCATAAAAAGTTATTATGGTGATAGGGATGTTAAAGACACAAATACAAAAGAAGACAGTGACTCTAAAAAATCTACAAAGCCTTGAAGAAAAATCACATTTAGGGCACAAATCCAATTAGAATTCCAGGAAGAGATGGAGCAAGAGTTTTGAAAAAGGAGTCGAAATTTTTTTTTAGTAAGATGAATGCTACAGGAAAAACTAGAAAAGAAATTAGAGCTATTGAAGAATGAATCAGAAATGGAATGAACTCTATACCCAAGTCTCTCCATCCTCCCACTCCTCTCAGTGCCTCAAAATTGAAGTTTTCCTTGGATTGTGATAGTAGCAAGGAGCACAGTATCAGAGAGGAGGGGAATAAACCAGAGAGCTGAGGAGCAGAGGGAACTAAGATAGTACAGG